TATTGAATCTAGAAACCCACCGAAGCAGGCCCAGGTATGGACTGTAGTAAGTATCCATACTGCAGTATTTGGAGATGTAACAGGAGGTAGTTTATCCTGCTCCTGTGCAAAGCACCGAGACACCCACAATGGAGTTTAATAACCGTGGATCATAGCTACTGCACTGAGAGCTATAGTCCATGCGGGAAGGGGTGTTAATGGAGTTAGTAGAGAGGAAATGTATCTCACTTGCTACAGAAAGAACTGCAATATTAGGTCTTTCCACAGTAGCATCTTATTTTGCAGAAACACCAAATCTAAGTGGACTAAGAGTTTTGAAAAGAAACTTCAGCAATAAATATCCAGTTCTCAACATGCAGAAGCATTCAATGCATTGCAATTTTTTATATATGCAGACTTTAAAATATATTGACATGCATTTTGCATATCTCTAGCCAAATTCTGTGTTTTGTATTGCACTTGGAATCAGGCAAAATTCTTTCAATTTTAGGGAGATAGGCATTAATAAGAATTGAGTAATAAAGGTGAAGGTCTCGGGGTTTGTTTTCCCTGCAACTAACCTATTTCACTTCTCCAATGTATTTCTAAGCCTGGCATTTTGGGCTAAATGTCTGTAGAGTACTGGGAAGATAATAGGTCCTGCAGTGGCTGATCCACTGTTTCACTGGTTGGCGATTAGTATCGGGGCGACAGGCAGCTTGTGTGTATTCCTGGAAAAGTCTCCTATTCCTGTCCTTTAGTCACCAACAGCATATGGGAATGCTGGAGGCAGTAAATTCTCTTTCAATATCTGATGTTCTTTGAACGTTCCTGCAGTGAATCTCTCTGACAAAGTTAGTTTTTACAGTGAGTACCTCTACAGCAAGTTCTGTTTTCCTTTAGCTAGAAGGAAGATTATCCTAATTAACAATTCTCAGAAAAGTAATGTATCATTTAGATGATCTAGAGAAATCCTGAATTTATTCAGATCAATGGCAAAAATCCTGGTGACTTAAAAGGGAATACATTTTTCATTTATGATTTTCATAGAACAGCCTAGGATATGGAAAGATGAGGGGAGTATGTCTCTTAATGATTGATTTCTTCTAATATTCTATCTGTATTTTATCCATAAAAGCTATATAAGATGGGAATATTAAGAACATCTAAAGTATGTTGAACAAAATCCTCATGCTGCAATATCCCTGGATGCTGTGACTCTTAAATTCTGTAGGCAAAACCCCAGTTTCATATTTCTTTTCCTGTAATTGGTTCATCACCTCTCTTCCCCCCTAAATTTCCTGATACTAACACCTGCCAGATAGCAAGTTTCTTGAAACATGCTTAAAATTTTTTGGAGTTCAGTTTTGTGGCACATCCTTAATCAGTAGCCAGGAGACTTTTATGCAGTCAGAAGTAGATATTAAAGATTAAGTAAAGAGTCTGTTCATACCTGATTACTTCAGCAAACATGTTAAGAAGGACACTGAACCAAGTTCATAATTACAGGCTCCATTGCTGGTGAATAGTTCTATAGTTTTGCTAGACTTGTTATGATACAAGTGAAATTGGTCTTTTTTGACAAAGTGATACATTCTTAAGGAATTACTAAATTTTTTTTTTTTTTTGTTAACTTCTGGGAGTTGTAAATGGCAGCCCAAATAGCATTTTCTTAGAAGCAAATGGGTTAAATAAACTAGTATAACCTAGCTAATATAAACACTACTCTGATACAACTAATAAGCATCAGGTGAAGACTATGTCCCATTGTGATGCATAGACATACAGGAATAGAAAATTTCTGCCTGGTGAGAGTTTATAATCTGAGAAAGGCTAGAGAGGCAAAGGAATAATATGTTCATTTTATAAACAGAGAAAGGAGGCGTAGAGAAATTAAAGATAATTTTTTCAACTGTCCCTAGGGCCAGGCTGTAAAATTTACGTACTTACTGACAAAGTTGGACAGTTAGCACTTTTGAAAATTTCACTAGATTGTTAAATGCTTAACTTCCATTCCAATAAGACCTGGATTGCTAAGTCACCTATAAAAATTGTCTAGACCTGGATCTATAGGTCTAGGCTAAGTTGAGCCTTTCAGATAATCAGGCCAGTATTTCACTGAACATCTGGACAATAATGAGTGGAACAAACACAAAGTATAAAAAAACATAAGCCGCCTATCTTTCATCTAAAGTCGCTTGTACACTGCCTTTCATGTGCTTAAGCTACATTTTAAAAATGAGGCACAGTCTCCTAATTTATTTACAATTTTTTGCAAGGTTGTGTTAGTGATAGTGGCCAGACAGAAGTGTGTTAGCAAAGTTTTGTGTCAGACCTCCTGAATTCCAGACCTTCATCCAAAACACAAAACCTTTATATTATTGAGAATCCAACTGCATTTTACATACATATTGAAGTTCCAGTATTAGATATTACAGTTGTGCATCAAAGATAAAGACAGATAGCAGCTAGCATGCAAATGCTGTTTCCAAAGAGAATAAAGCCCTTTTGAAGGCAGTAGAAACTGTCAAAGTTAAATTAAAAATTAAAAATCCATTCTGTGGGCTGCAGAGATGCTAGGCTGCCTGACAGCCACAGAACCAGGAAGTTTTAAAAACCTCTCAAACGCAATAGTAAGTTATCTGGACTCGCTGGGCTTCCCCTCTACCCCAATCAACTTTCATGCCACAGTGAAATATAATCACTGTGCCTAGAAACTGTTCATCTTGGTCATAAGGAAAAACCCCCTCCTTGCAACTGTTTTTTTTAAACATCTCAAATTATCAAGTATTCAGCTTGCTTATGCCTTAATATGTAATATATTGGTGTAAAAATGATAGACTTTCTCAATTTTTTAATGATTTCTGATTTATTATTTATCATAACGTACTGCTGCATCTTAGTCACTCAAAATGAAGACTGATATGGCCTTCAACATGAAAAAACACTGGCTACAGTCACAAGCAGTATTTCAATACATTATTGCGTGCATTAAATTTAGGTCTCAGAATCTGGAAGTGGGGTAAAGTGGCGTCATTTGTGTTGTTTGGGGTTTTTTTTGAAAGCACTGAAGTACCATAGAAAAATACTAAGGATATTAAGAAGGACGATGGATAATACCTGCCTCTGTCCATGTCTGTCCACCCTTCCCCCACATTTAGGCCCTCATTGTGCCATAACTGACATTTCTGACTGTCTTTGTTGGGATTCGTTACTGTTTTACTGACCTCCCCTGCCAAAAAGAAACAGGATAGTAATAAAGGGCAATACTTCTGTTGTCATAAGCAATTTATTGCCATATACCTTACAGAACTTCAGAAGTCAGATGTTTATTGCCTGCTGCTGCTTGTATTACTGCTCAGCTTGCCTGACTATGAGATTATGACAAAATCTATCTATAATTAAGGAAAACTTTGAAGCTATACACTGCTTGAATTTGAAAAGGAGCAATGCCTTTATCACTGTCATGCATTGAGTCAAAACCTGTTTGGGAACAGCTCTGAATTGTAACGTGGGGTTTAAAATTGTGATCAGAATTTTGAAGTTTATTTTTAAGTAATATGAGGTTATTTTAATAGGGTACCATCACAATTCATCTTACAGAGCATGGAATCAAGCTGTATAAAAGCAATAGACGACTGTTGTCCTACAGTAGGGTGACAGGCCCTAAGGACAGGCAAACCCAGCATTTTACAATTATTTTATTACATTCAGGAGAAATGAGCTATAATGTGATACAGATGTGACTGAATAATCTTACATGTAGAGCAAAAAATTTGGTATGTTATTGCATATAGTTTTTAATATTTCTTGGACTTATGTGGCCTGGAAAGACACTGTGTTGACAGACGAAATGTTCCTAATGTACTTGCATGGTCCTCCTCATTGCAGCATTTTAATTTTAACCAGAATTTTAATCAGCAAAGTGATTAAGCTACGATATCCTGTTGATTTCAATGGGTGTTAGATGTCTAACCAGGAATTAGTCAGAGCCTCTGTCCTTGAGTGGGTATTTTTTTTCCATTCAACCAGGAAGCAGTACAGTCTCTTGAGACCGGTTTCCAGACAAAAGGAGTTCAGACAGAAATCGGAGCTTCTGGTCGCTTATTGAACTCTGTCCATCCTCTGTGTTCTCTCCCCTTGAATAAGCAATATGAGCTGCATCTCTCACTTGCGTGGCTTAACATCATCTACAGTCGGCTTTGACTAACATGACTTTCAAACAGGGCATTGCTGGAGGAGTTGAGCAAATAAACTGGACTTCCGAAACAATCAGATTTAACTGTCACCGTGATACACATGCCTTGAAACTTGCTAACTCGTTCTGTGACATAAAGCAATTCACATGTTGACTGAAAAAAAGCTAAAAATCTTTTCAATGACATATTCTTTATTCCTTATTTTTATTCATTATTATTAAAAAAGTTATGTATTTCATGGTAACAGCTACTCATCCTATGGTAAAATGTCTTTAATTTCCATATATAAATTTTCTAAAAGTCTGAAATTCTACTCAAAGGTTTTAGAGTCCTAAGAGCAGCCTCTGCTGATGCCTAAGGAAATTGTTTCTCTGTTTTTCCCGGAGAGTTAACAGTTTTCATTGTATATCCCTAAGAAGTTTGCAAGAACTGTTCCGCTGATGTTTGTATGGCGCTTGGAAAAATAGACAAGGCTTCACAGATTATAAGTTTAAAGTAATTGTGATCAGCATTAAAAATATTGGATACCATGAACAATATAGCTAAAACCACAATGGTCTTACGGTCCAACAGTAGTCTTATGGTACTCTACAAAAATTTCTGAAGCTCCTTCTTAAAATGTCCCTTTCCCCCCCATCACAAATTTGAATACTGATCTGTAACTTGAACCGTGTCTCGTTTTTGTGACGGCATTATCTTTTAGCTCAAATAGCTAGTTGGCTAGTTGGCCCAGGCTAACAGTATCCCAGGCTGCGTTAGCAGGAGCACAGCCAGGCGATCGAGGGAAGGGATGATCCCTTTGCTCGGCACTGGCTGGATGACATGGAGATGCTGCGTCCAGTTTTGACCCTCCCCAGTACAGGAAAGACGCCGTCGAGCTGGAGCCAGTTCAGCAGAGGAGATCACCGGGATGGAGCCGGGCTCCTCGCCGCGGCACGCGGTGGGAGGGCGAGGGACGACGGGTGTGCGTTGAAGCAAGAGCGGTCCAGACTGGACGCACGGAGAAGCACCTTCCCCGTGGGGACGCTGGACCTGCGGCACAGGCGGCCCAGGGAGGCTGTGCAGCCTCCATCCTCGGCGGGTTCCGGGACCCGACTGGGCAAAGCCCTGAGCCACCCGGCGCGGCTCCGAGCAGCGGGCTGGCCCG